ACCTCATCTCAAAAACCAAAAAAGCCAAAAACCAAAAACCAAACAAAAAAAGCAGAAGCCCAAGCAAATACAGATGTTACAGGTGTCCATTTAGGCTGTGGTGGATTGGGATGATTTGTGACTACTTATCTGGACCTGGAGGAGTATTGGCGTCTTGCCTTTCGATGAGATCTTCTAGAGGCTCACAGGAGTGGCTTCTTCTTTTGGGCGGTCTTCTTCTTCACTTCAGGTGGGGCTGGCTTTTGTCCCGTGATATTCAGGGTCACAAGGGGACCACAGAGGACATGGAGATGTCCGCAGAGGGGGCACTGTGCTTGCCCCGGGTCCCTTCAGTATTCTTTATCAGAGCAGGAAGGGAGGGTGTTGCTCCCCAGCCCCGCTCTGGGAGTGGGACAGTCATTCCTCTCTGCCATGAGCGTACGCACAGTGGTCGCCTGACACACAGCCCGGCCTGGAGGGTAGCTTGGTACAGTCGCGTGCCAGTGTCCGGTTTGTTGCATGTAAAGCAGGAAATCTTTCTCGATTGGCTTTGGGTTTTCCCTTGGATGACCTGGATGTGCTTAAAGCATTGCCCATCATGACAGCCATAATTTTGGACTGTCTGTTTTCTCTTGGTCTTTCTTTCATTCTCCTCTGGATCCTGGTTGTTGAACACAGAAAAGGCCATTGGGCCATGGGTGTCTGGGAGATCATATTAAGTTTTTGTAATTTGTGTCAAATGTCTGAGGCGGAGTGACCATGAAATGCTCTCCCATTGGTGCCCCTCCCTCCTTGAATGCTGGATCTAGGTTTGTATATTTACAGAAAGCTTCTACTAATTGGCTATGAAAGATAGCTGGCTTTTCCTCTTTGCCCTGTATAACCTCTCTCATCCTTTCATAATTAAAAGGTTTCCTAATGTACCTTTCTGTTCCCATGGTAAGTGCAGTTATCATTTTAGACCTTGTGTCCAGTCCATCTGTAGAATCACAGCCCCAGTTTGGCTCTGTTGGAGGGACAGCAACCTCTTGCTGCCGACTGCAGCATACTGTTCATCTGTCTGTCTCCCAGCCTCTTGAAGGATTGTTTTTCATCTGGGATACAGTGAATGGCCAAGAGTAATTGGACCTCTGGCCATGATAGGTCAAAAGCAAGGATCAAATGTTGAACACCATCTGCAAATCTACTAGGATCTGCAGCCAAACATATTCTTTGCAATGTCCGATAGCTGCCACTGGAGAAGGAACATAGGCTCAAGTAGTTTCCTCTACTGCCGGCATCTCAGGGGTAGGATGAACTGTGAATTGGAAGAGTTAGAAACTCCACTCCGAGTGTGGAGTGCGTGCATCCTGTGGGACTAACAGCTGTCTGAGGAGCCTGAGGTGGGGCTCGGGAGTACTGGTTTGTCAGGGGAGCTTGGCTGTGATGGAGTTTTTGGGTCACTTCAAGAGGACAGGACTAACTTATTGGCCTGAGGATTGCAAGGAGGAGCCTGAGTAGATCCCCCGCCCACCCCGCGTGGTTGTTTTCACTGTAGGAGAGACTCATATCTCCCTGAGAGACAGGTGGGCTTCTTCGCATGGGATTATCAGTGATATCATTTTCCTCTTCGTTTGAGGCCTCTTTAAGTACCATAGTTCTTGGGCCTTTAGAGATAAAGAGCCATAAAAGCCTGCACTTGACAAATTTCACACCATTTTCCTTGCCTTTTGCAGAAAAGATAGTATTGTAATTTAAACTGCCATTCTGTTCCCATCTCTCACCATTTCTTAATCCATATGGGACCCAAACAGTATTGCAAGAGAAGATTAATTCTTATTTTTTCAGACTGTTAAGGTCACACTGTTCCACATTTTTAAGGATACAGTCGAATGGGATCTGCAGGGTGTTTCCCATGGTGCTTCGTGGGGCCTGTGGGAAGAGAGAGAAGACTGGGTCTGGGGCTCCTTCTGAAGACTTCCCCCACAGAAGAACAGAGGCCTGCTGAGTCCCCAGGTTGTCCCCTGTGAGGCTCAAATTGCGCTACCAGGTGTCTCTGGTGAAAGGAGTGGCAGCGAAGACTTTCCTTGGAACTTTCCATAGCTTGTGGCCCATGTAACTCCTTAGGACCAGGTTGGGCCCCCAGGGCTACCTCTAGCCACTTGAGAAACAGTATCCCTTCCATTTTTCCAATAGAAAGTGTGGTAATTACCTTGTTTAAGGCACTAGAGATAGAAACCTCTTTTTCCATTTAAGGGGAAAAAAAAGAAAGAAAAAAACCTTAGAAAGTTCTAATGAGAAGTATAGGATTTGTTATTTATTGACTCCAGCTCTACTTTTACATATTCACAGCTGGTTGAGTTGAGTTGGCTGTTTCCTTTGTTCCACTCAGGTCCTCAGACACATATTTCTAAATTACTTGAATTTCTTTTAGGAGAAACAAGGAGGAGCTTTAACCCAATTTAGAAGAGAAGAGAGGAGAGGAGGAGGCACATATGGTCCCTAAAAGTGAAGGCTTTAGCTCTTATCTATAGGGGTGAGATTTCCTGATGTCCAAGAGGTCAGTTGAAAAAATACGACAGACAAGCATGGCCAAATCACATGACTTATCCACATGACAAACCAAAATGACTGCCAAACATGGCAGAAAGGTAGACAAGGATGGCTACCTATGGTCTTAATAAACAGGGACCTGAGAAAGTGACTTACTAAAAACACCCAGAGATAAACAGCCATTTGGGGAAAAGCACAGCTGAGACTCCTGAGCCCCAAAACAGGCAGTCTGGGGTAGGTGGCTACTCAAGCAAGAGAATTACCAAAGTTATTTCTCACTGAACAAAGTATCAGAAGGACAAAAATGTGCGGTCAAAAAGGCAGACTAAACTCTGGGTCACACACACTGAAACCTGAATGGTCTGCGCAGAGACTGGGTCAATAAGAGGGTCTCTGGCAGCCTCCAAGCCGGAACCATGGATGCTGGGGCCTCCCGTTGCTACTGGGTTTTAGTGCGGTGGAGTCTCCTTCTGCAGGTGGTTTCTAGGTTCTTTCCTCCTGAGCAAAGAATGAGTGAAGACGTACACCAATGGTAGCAAAGTTCTATTAAAGGTAGGAGAAGAAACAGGCTCTGTAGAGTGGGCCAAGTAAAGGTAGGAAAAGAAGTACACTCTGCAGTGTGAGGGTGGACCACCATGCAAGAGTGAACACAGTGGTAACAACTCAATGTAGACTCTTCCTTTTGAGGCACCCGCTCCTCAGGCTGTCAGGTTAGGCCATCCTATCAAAAACCTCATGAGCAGGCCACATGCAGGGCTCTGGGAACTGTTCTTCACATGAATCCTGGAACTGCATAATTAACAGGTCACAGCTCTCCCCAGCCAGCTTTGCCACACCCTCATCTCCTGTCTCGCCATGAATTGCCACTGGGGCAAGTGTCCCTAGAGAACAGCCTCCCACACACTGCAGGCCTTGGCGCAAGCCTGGCCCAGGGTGAGCCTGCCCCAGCAGGGTGGGGTGGAGGGCACAGAGTGGCACATCTTGGGGGCAGACGGTGACCTCATTGTTGACTCGGATGTGTCCTACCCCATGGGGGGACACACTAGAGAACTGTTCCAGAGAAATGAGAAAACATCCTGAGTCCCCAGCTTCCACTAATTTTTCTCACCCACAAACAAAATTGCTCACTTCCTGGCTGGGCTTGCGGAGAAATATGTTACCGGGTTGTGGGATTCTGTAGACTCCAGTTCTTGGTATCCTGAACAAAGAATTGGACAAGTCACCCTAAAAAGGTAATTGAGGGTTTATATGTATTAAAGGTAGGAAAATGAGTAGGTTCTGCAGAGTGACGGGACCACCGAGAGAGTTCACTGTGGCCACCAGGTTAATGGTGGAGGGTTCTGTATTCCTCGTGCTTCAAGCTGATGTCAAGTCTTGGCCAGCCAATCACAAACCTGCTTGATTTCTCCCCTGAAGAACTGAAGAGAACACCTTCTGCTTGGTCCCACGCGCAAGCTTGGAACTGTGGTCTGGAAATCTGCCCTGAATCTCTGTGATTGGCAAGTCAGCCCCACTTGCTCGGCCAGTCTGTCACCCTCTGATCTCCTGCCTGCTGGCTCATCCTAGGTCGGGTCCCACCCCCTCTGTCTTCCTACACAGTGTGAGTGTTGGAAATGTGTCACATGAATTACTAGACAAAGGAGACTCAGATAGGTTGAGAAATGCATGTTTCCCAATTGACTAGGTAGCCTTCAGTCACAAAAGCAATAGGAAGTGACAATGATGCTGTTTATCCCATTGAAGCTTCATTTTTCCAACTGAGTTTGAAACTGATTAAAAGGGTTCTGGGATACGACTGTGCCCCTTCCACCCTCTCTTGCTGGCACGGTTTATGCACATTTCAGTTCCAGTCTTTCATAACCAATTTCCCAAGGCCTTCCCTATCATCCCAACTCTTGCCTTCTCCAGTTTCCAGCAAAAGCGGAGGTTAAATTGGGGGTCTTTACAAAGACCCAGCAAAACCGGTGCTTAGCAGAATGATAGGAAAAGAGCTCAGTATTTCCTTCCTACTGAAGCCCCAGCTCGAATTTTTAAAAATAAAGACCATGTCTCTATGGTGGTATAGAAACACAGCACTGCATCAAAACAAACCCCCAGTCCACGCACACTCCAAATCCAGGCAAAATATCTAAACGTGTTCCTGAGCCTGGGAAGAGGTTAGGTTTCATTTATAAATGCTGAAGATATTCTGCTGCTGTGCCCAATAAAAAGTACAAATAAAGTTGTCCTGGTCTTCACTGTTTAGGAACTGAGGAAAAGACTGGTGTTTTATAAGGAAGGGGTTTGGGTTGAAGAAGTCTCGTTAGGAAGCCTGTGTCCATGACCTGGGCTTGGAAGTGTGAATATACTATTTTGCCTTCCTCTGGGCATGAATTTGAGGGGTGGAAGGGTTACTGGGAGAGAGGAGCACAACTCAGTGCTCTGAGTTTCAAAGAACCCAATTCTGTTTGGGTAAAGAGCTCATTCAGGGAAAGAAACTGATGACCACATTTAAATTATACACCGATCACTTTTATTGTCTGTAACCACAAAATCGTTTTTTTCTTTTTTGGTACCGGGAATCAAACTCAGGACCTTGCGCTTGGAGTCAGGCAGTGGCAACACTGAGCTAAATACTCAGCCCACAAAATTGTTCTTCGAACAATAACATTTCAATTTCACTGTTTCTACTTCCATTAAAGCAACAGCGCTGTATTGCAAAATGAACTCTACGCAATCAAGTCCCCGATAGGTATTTCTTGATTTTGTTAAAAAGGGATAGGAAAGATTACATCACCCCAATAAGAAAACATTTTCCTTGGCCTCCTTGCTTCATTTTGACTTCCTTCAAAAGCATTATAATGAAGGGTATTTCAAAGGTTAATTCTTTCTCCCTTCACAAGCCGGGCTCGAGACTTCAAAATATCCTGGAAATGATTCCAAACAGAAAGAATTTATGGAGCATTAGATAAACACAATTTCTAGGCTTCCACACATGGGTAAAGGAAAACAATTAATCGTTTTGTTTATTAGTAAATGAAACACGTTCTAAGACTCCAATTAACACACAGTAATGCTAACTTCACTCCGTGACGCCCCCTCATCCTTCAACCCAGGTTGACTTACACCGGGCTAATTCCAGGTGACAGAATAGGGTGGTGTGCTGCTGGCCACAGTGGGGAGTGCTGCTGTCTCCCTGCCTGCTTTCATGCCCCGCCAGAACCACTCAGAGGGTTCCACACTGATTAGATCATAATGGTGAATATGGCCCCAAGGGTTACTGGTTGGGTTCTACCCTCTTTGTGCATCATAAAACAATTTCAATGTTCTCGATTATTTTTTAGCTGTTTGTTCAAATGAGTGATTTCAGAATTAGGCCTAACTCTGAGAACTCCGTTGCTTAGCCCAGCCTCTGGGACTCTTAACTTCTTCCGCACAGCGTGGGGCTACACTGCTGTTCTATTGGGTTTTGGTGGAGAAAATGAGGAAAGAAATGTAAAAATATTTTTATAGTTTGGAAAGAACTATATTTAGTACTGTTTTTTATATAAGCCCAATAAACTATAATTTATAAGGCAACCAACATAAATCAACGGAATGAATACGGAGCCACTGAGCACAACGGCGACAGAACCCGTGTGTAATACACACGGCAGGACCCCTCGGTGGTCTTACATCTCTGCTCCACTTCCACACAAATTACGGCTCTCATAAAACTCTAGTTGCAGAGTGATCAGAATGAAACCGTGCTTGGGCGTTGCCCTCCAGAAGTCTCACTGGAACTCCTCATGCACACCTACTCTGCTCTACATGAATAAAGGGGCCCTGTGGTAGATATTCCAAACCTTTACCTTCGCTTTGTCCTTCATCTCCTCGTGTCTAACTCTGGCTCCTGCCTGTGCTATGTGGAACGGGACAGCCCACTTAACCCAGGACCACCAGAGACCTAGGAAGTCCCCACCTGGGGAAGCAAGAGCGCACTGAGACCCCCCTGTCCTTCTGAGTAGGCCTGGGCAGGGCTCTGGAAAGAACCCTAAACCCAAGCATGACTGACTTTTAAGTGAAATGAGGCCTTCATTAAGCACCCGAAGGAAAGAAGCACCTGATGTCTTTACTTTGCCGTTTCATGCACACATACCTTCATGTTCCAATCATCTCCAGTTACGCCCAATTTGTTTGCTACTTGGATCATTTCCTTCTCGATGCCTTCTTGACTGGTGCCCTTCACGTCGATGTAATGGCAACTGGCACTGGCATAATGGCAGGAAATTGCCTGTGAGAAGTGAATACACCGACACTGGAGAAAGCATCCCATTCACACCAGCAACTGGGCCAGGAGTCCTCCTCCTGGAAAGTCAGGTTTTTCTCTCAGGATCAGATTCCTACATAGGACGCCTGGTCCACGGAATCCTCAATCAGTCTCTGTAGCTTGGCCTCACCCCCTGGCCCCAACCCCAGCTAAAAGTTAAAGAGAAATTACAAAGATTTTTTTTTAAAACTAACCGTGCCATCTATTTTTAAAACATCTATGTAGGAACAGAATGTAATCCCCTAAACAAGCGATCTTTAGTGTTTTAAGCATTTAGTTTCCCTAATGAGTAGATATCCCAAAAGCCTATAAAAGAAGACACCTTACTGTTTATCATTTCCTTAGTAATAAAAGTCACACAGTTGAACATGGGATGGGCTCTTACTTCAATAGATATGAAACCTGAAAATACCTTGACAAGGAAAGTATGATCATCTCCTCTCAAAAGAGACATTTAAAGGTCAGTAACGTGACACGGCTGTCTATCTCCTTTCCCTCTGAGGGTATGGCCAAAGGTATCGGGTTCTCCCCATTTTAGAAAAGGGCATGAACCCCTCTAAGCTGCAAAGCAGTAGGGAAAACTCACCTCCTTGCAGACGAGTTAATTGTCAAGGTGATCTTACCCATCAGGACTTTCTGCTTTGCCCAAAATACCAGCTTTCTGGAGTACAGTCACAAACTCCGTTTTGTCCACAAGCCCCAGTGCCTGGCAGAGCCGTGTCACGGCCGAGACAACAGGACAAATGTGTTGATGGGGTAGGGGGTGGGGCGTGTGGATTCCTGTATCCACGTTGCTGTGGAATAATGGTGGTATTTTTCTACAACACTAAGGGCATTAGAAAAATACTGAAAAACTACAAAGTCAGAATATTAAAACTCAGAACAAAATTTGTGAGCAAGTAGACACGCCCCAACTGCATAGCTCCAAGGGCTATGCTAGCACAGGCTCCCATCCAGTATTTTATTGAAAATGTTGGCATTGTACACAGCGTGGATTTTTCGCTTCATTCTGATTTGCTGCAATAGTATTTCACTCGATTGCCCACTGTTTTTGGCAGCCCCTTCCGTTTTGTCCTGAGGCAGTCTCGAGGTTTGACTCAGCCTGATGCCCGCCCTGCTGAGCTGGTAGGAATAAGCTGAAGAGGAGCCTAGGGGAGACACCGGATCTGTGGGAACCAGGGGGCAAACCGGAAAGCCCTGAGTCTGTGTGGACAGCCCTGCTACCTACCATGGGGAACTGAGCGCCCACGCCGGTGTTAGGGCCGCTGAGTTTGAGCACAGCGAGAAGTCAGGAAATGTGTGAGGAATCTTGTCAGTTTTGCAGGGTAAGCAATGAATCATTCAATTTCAAACACCCTAAGGCTGAGGGTGAGAAAAACATGGCTGCCTGCTAATTCTGACTTCTGAGCAGCCAACTCAGAACCTTCATTTTGGATCGATACTATTTTTCTCCAGTAGTAAAGACACGGCAGACTTTCCTCTGCTATGCTTATGAAAAGCCATATAAATCCCAAATTGTGTTGCTTCTGTGTTTCAGGGATTGTTCTTGCCTCAGAAAGCGCAGGCTACAAGCTTCAAGGTAAGCTAGTGTTCTACAGCAGCTCCTCCACCGATCACGACTCCCTGTCCACAGGAGCAGGGTGCTAAGCTTACCTGGAATCTTACTGATGAGAGAGGAAAAAGTACAAGGAAGGCAAATGCATTTCCTAGGAAATCAACTGATTTAAAATTTGGTTTAGTGAAAAGTCATAAATCTCTGACATGGTAGCTGAGCAAGTCCCTGTCTCAAAATTTAAAAAGGGCGGTGGTTGCGTTGCCAGTGCTGGAGAGAGACAGAGGGAGCGAGGTGGGGGCCTAAAAGAAACACCTCGAGGCCCTTCCCCACAGAAGCGATACTTTTATGGTTAGGTAACTTAACGATGTACAAATGTGAAACCCAAAATAAACTGACAACTCACGCTTATGGTTTTTTTAGCACTACAAATCCAACGCGTGTTTTCAAGTTAAATGCAAGCGATTTAAAGCCAATAAAATTCAAATTAGCAGCACTAAGGAGAAAAGAAATAAATCTTTCACATTAATGAGTCTTAAGATTTTTGTTTCTAACCCACTCAGCTTTGAAAACCTTGGCCACGTGAATGCATACTTTCCTGAATCCTTGCGTTTTGTTCCGCCCAGATCCATGGATGAGCAGAGGGTGAAAGAAAACAGTGTCTCCCTTCTCCATGATGAGGTGCACGCGGGGACTGTCCCACTCATAGTCCTGGATCCCGTGGAACATGATGTTAACTCCGCCCTAGGCACACAAGAGAAGCCAAATCTATGCCTGAGAACA